CTAGAACACCATGATCCTTAACCAAAATTCACCACACAAGAGGCCCTAGTATAAAACCACAACGCCCTAAGGCCCATAAGCCGCTGACTCCTCTCTTAAGCTACCAAAGCGCCACAACCGCGGCACCCACTCTAAAGAGACCTTATGTGAACCTAAAACTATTTCCTTCACCTTCTTGATACTGAATTGTATAATCCACAATGATATAAAAATGCCACAAGTCTTGACACCATCCCATGCAAATATCAGATCCTAGCCATATACCAATGCAAAATTCTCAGTTTTTACATATAATTCTTGAATCCATTAGAACCATTCTCGAGAGCCATCCACTCTACTCAAATATCAATTAAACTAACCAAACGGGCCGAACGACCTATGCCCCATTAGCACACCAACACCCAAGGGAATAAAGAGTAACCCACACTCTTAAGCAACCGAGCAAATTCCTACTCCATGTACACTACATCCTTTACAAATAACCACTCAATTATTTTTATGATTCCCATATACCCATAGAGTGCAATACAACCTGTATCTAGAAATTCCTTTATCCGAGTCATCCTCGATCTCAACCCCTGTAGTCATAGCTGATTCACCAGTATACCCCAAACCAAAACCAATATCACACACATCTGTGCAATCAACTCGTCGATAGCAGACTCCCCCACTTGGCTCAAAGCCATGGAATAAAACATCTGACTACTTACAATAACCATACATCATTACTACCATAATACCATAGTGAGATTCTACTGAATCCTTCATCCGCTCATGCAACACAAAACATCTAGTACCTCAGATCATCTACAAATCTCGCGTTCATCATCGTGATGGGTAAGCCAACTTCCACAGGCGATCCAAACTCAAATTGCAACATATATCATTCACTGGTAAAAGAGAACTCTCTACAAAACTTCATAAGGACCACACAACCTCAGGACACCTCGCAGGAGATAACCTACCTGCTCTGCTTCAAACTGACATCTCTCTATACCCTTCCACAGTCACGACTACTACGCAATCACTTAATCTTCTTGATTCTGAACTCATCAACAAGACATGAGAATCTACTTTACTCCACAACTAAACAACATGAGAGATCCCTCAAAACACCCATAACTCGAGACCATATGCCAAATCAAGACAGAAATCAAACACCCCTTAGTCCTTTCTACCTCTCAAGTAAACTCTTCTCATCACATTCAAACGATCCGAACACATCTCGCAGTCACATCATACTCACAACATAGCCATTTCACCGCTCATCGAGCCACAAATTCCTCTTATTGGTACATTACCGGACATATGAGTCCAAATGTACAACTTACCACTGAAGCTACCGAGCTCAAGCTGCGGTCTAACCAAGGCCTCAAGTCCTCCAGACTGGCCCATTACCAAAACACAGAATACACATCTCGAACCTCGTTCATAGAATCACAAACAGGCGATGCACACCTGATATCGAGCGCTCATGTGCACATACAAATGCGTGGAAGGAATTCAAAGAGTTACGCTTCAAGTTGAATCAGTGTCGCACGATAAGGAAACAAAGATGGGAAATATATCCTAAATTTCCTGTAGCCTCTCAAAGATAGGTATGGACGTCATCATACCAATCCGCAAGACTCTACTAGACACTTGCTCATGACTTGTAGAACCTATGAACCTAGAGCTCTGATACCACCTTGTCAGGACCCAAAATCCGACTAGTCATGATGGCACCTAACCTAACCCGCTAGGTAAGCCAATTAACCACTAACCAATTCCAATAATAATTTATAAAGCAATTAAGTAATAAAATATCTTAATCTTATACATTCCCCAAGAACTAATAATATAAGTCATGAGCTTCTAAGAATAGAGTTTACAAAGCGGAAATGAAATAAATACATAGTCTGTTAGAATAGTACATAAAGCGAGTTTTACAGATCTAAAGCTACCACGAACAAGAGGCAGCTACAAACGGGACACAGGTACATCTTCACACCAGCTCCCATCGAACACAGCAACAATAGCAGCCAACATCTACACGCAAGGTGCAGAAGTGTAGTATGAGTACAACCGACCTCATGTACTCAATAAGTAACAAACCTAACCTTATGTTGAAAGTAGTGACGAGCTTGTACTAAGGTCGGCTCCCAACTTCAATAACCAACAATAGTTCATAACAACATAAAACAAGTAATACCAGAAGTAACTCAACAATCAAATGTTCTACAAAACATGATTTCTGAAAATGGTTCCGCCTTTCTAGTACTTCAATGAAAACCCAAATCGTTTACCAGAGTTACCAAAAATATGAATAAGTTTGAAGACAATAATTTTCCCAAAATCCTTTCCATAATAAATAAGATATTTCAGTTTTCTTTCCAGATAACCAGTGTAAAACAAATGCATCACTATGCCCATCTGCCAATATGTGTGAGAAATCATGAATGATGTGATACCGTACAGCATGAGAAAATACATCTATATGCATGTATGTCATGTATGCATGTCAATGCAATGCATCTCAGAGATGAACTCATGTACTCACACTTTCAGAGTACTCAATCTCACTGTCTCGCATTCTCTCTCACTATGCTCAAGGCTCAGCACACTCAATCACTCAGCGCTGTGTAATACCCGTTGCGACGTGCAGCCCGATCCACATATATATAGTCGACTGCGCTCACTGGGAGTGTGCAGACTCTGGAGGGGCTCCTTCAGCCCAAGCACTATATTGTTGCGGCGTGCAACCCGATCCAATATTGTTGCGGTGTGCAACTCGATTTAATATTATTGCGGCGTGCAACCCGATCCATATAAAATATAATCAATATCATATGCTGCGGCGTGCAGCCCGATCCCAGAATGTCACTCTCACTCAGGCCCTCGGCCTCATTCAGTCATCAGTCTCTCCAGTCTCACTCACGGGCTCACAATGCCATGAAATTAGCCCGACAACAATGATATGATGTATCAATAAACAACAACTGAGACTGAGATATGATATGAATGCATGAATATGACTGAATACAATATATCAATAAAATCAGTGAGATGATAGCAAGAAACGACCACTATGGGTCCTAACAATATCCGCATAAAGCCTAAACACGATATTTAGCATGATTGACAGCTTAGGTATTTTATCACATGGTGATAACACAGATATCAACAAAATAGGGCCACTATACAGTGCCATGGAAATAATGGAATCACAATTCACAGGGTGCACGCCCACATGCCCGTCACCTAGCATATGTGTCACCTCAATACCAATCACATAACACGTATTTCGTGGTTCCATACCCTCAGTACTAAGATTAGAAGAGTTACTTACCTCGAACAAGCCAATTCCAACACCGAGCAAGCCAAGCGATGCTCCAAAATGCCATCCCATGCGTTCCAACCTCCGAACGGCCCGAAACTAACCAAAAACAACTTAAATACACCAAACAATGCTAAAGGAACCAATCCCGATCGAAAAGATCAAATCTTGAATCAAAAGCCCAAAATCAGCCAAAAGCTCAACCCGAGCAGAGAACACTTACCCCAATTCATATGGTGAAAATTACTTCAAGAATCGTCTCAATCCGAGCTCCATAGTTCCCAAAATGCAAAAATGTCTGAAACCTTCGAAATAGAGTACTTTATAATCTGCCCAGGCCTCTTCTTTCGCGAACGCGAGTAAACCATCGTGTTCGCGATGAACAAAATGCACACTGCCACAAAATACTCTACGCGTTCGCGATTCAACCCATGCGAATGCGATGAACACTGCTGCCAAAGCTTCACGAACACGACTAACCTTATGCGATCGCATAGAAGAATGCTCAAATTCCCAGCTGCTAACATCAACATTACGTGAACGCGATCCTCCGTACGCGAACGTGAAGAGAACTAGCCCCAACTCTACGCGAACGCGAGACATACTTCGTGATCGCAAAGAACAATTTTTTGTTGCCGTCCAAATGCACTACGCGTTCGCGATACTTGCCACGCGAACGCGATGAAGAGCCGAGATACCAGAAAATAGCAGAACACAGCAGTACCAAAAATGAAGAAAAATGATCTGAAATCAATCCGAACCACGTCCGAGCCCCTCGGGACCCCGTCCAAACATACCAACAAGTCCCACAACATCACACGGACCTACTCAAGGCCTCAAACACACACAAAATAACATCGAAATGACGAATCACACCTCAATTAAGATTCAATGAACTTTGAAACTTCAACTTTCACAACCGATGCCGAAACCTATCAAATCATGTTCGATTGACCTCAAATGTTGCACACAAGTCACATTCGACATTATAGAACTGCTCCAACTTTAGAAAATGGATTCCGACCCCGATATCAAAAAGTCCACTCCCGGTCAAACTTTCCAAAATTTTAACTTTCGCCATTTCGAGCCAAATTCAACCACGGACCTCCAAATCACAATTCGGGCGCACTCTTAAGTCCAAAATCACCCAACGGAGCTAATGGAACCATAAAAATTCCAATCCGAGGTCAATTGCTAAAATGTCAAACTTGGTCAACTCTCCCAATTTAAAGCTTCAACAATGAAATCCATTCTTCCAATTCGATTCCGAAATACCTAAAAACCAAAACTGACGATTCACACAAGTAAAAATACATCATACGGAGCTACGCACGCCCATAAACTACCGAGAGAAGTGTAAATACTCTAAACGACATGTTAGGTCGTTATAGTGATGTCATGCATTTTTCCTTAACTGTGTTTAATTGTTCTTGTTTGTTCATAGTATATTGGCTGTTGAAGTTACCATTCTGCTATAGTTCTCTATCTCGTATTCCCCTCAGCATGTTTCCCCTTCCAATAGTACATGTTTAGTTGTTATTTGTACATATGCTGTTAAATTGCACAGGTTTGTTATGTAGGTATCTTGTCATAGCCTCGTCACTACTTCGTCGAGGTTAGGATCGATACTTACTAGTACATGGGGTCGGTTGTACTAATACTGCACTTTGCACTTCTTGTGTAGATTTTGGTATTGGTCTCAACTGATCGAGAGGCGTAGCAGCTTGGACTAGTTCATCGGAGACTCATGGTAGATCTGTTGGTGTTCGCAGATCTTGAAGTCCCCGTCTATCTTTTCAGTTTGTTTTGCTGTTTCTTTCATTTAAACAGTTGTATTTCTTTTACACTTTTACTTGTAGTAAATCCTAGAAGTTCGTTAATTGTGACTCCAGATCCGAGTGGTAGTAATTAATGAAGTTTTTATATTATTCCGCACTCGCTGTATTTCATTTTAGCTTATTTTCTGTTATTTTCTGAATTGAATAAAGATTGGCTTAATAATTCTCTAACATCGGCTTACCTAGCAAGTGGAATGTTAGGTGCCATCACGGTCCCGACAGTGAAAATTTTGGGTCGTGACAAGTTGGTATCAGAGCACTAGGTTGCCTAGGTCTTACGATTCACGAAAAGGCTTAGTAAAGTCTGGAGGATCGGTACAGAGACGTCTGTACTTATATTTCATAGGCTACAAAGTTTAGGAACAATTTCACTTCTATTCTTCTCTGTCATACGATTTTGTTCTCTCATTTCTAATCAAACTCTTCTACTCTTGTTCTCTCGCAGACGGCGAGAATATGTACCGCATCCTCAGCTGAGCAGTAGCCAGTGCCCCCAATGGCAGCTCCTACGAGGGGCAGAGGTCGAGGCCGAGGCCGAGGCCGTGCCAGGGGCCAAGGCAGGGGCAGGACTCAGCCTAGAGCTCGAGTAGCAGCACTAGCAACAGAGCCTCGGGTGGAGTTTGATGAGGAGGATCCAGTCCATACTATTCCAGCAGGACCAGCTCAGGTCCCGGAGGGGTTCATCGCCACCCCAGTGCTTCAAAATGCTTTGGTCTGTTTGGTGGGCCTTATGGAGAGTGTGGCCCAGACTGGCACATTTCCCATGGCACTAGCCGTCTCTCAGGCTGGGGGAGGAGCACATACTCCCACTACTCCTGCTCCGGAGAAGATGGCTCCCCAGCATTAGGCTTCAGCATCCCCACCAGTTGGAGTAGTTCAGCCGGTTGTTACGGCACATGCCGATGATGGACCAGCTATGTCTTCTAAGGGCTTATTGAGGTTGGACAAGTTCACCAAGCTCTTTCCAGTTCCAGTGGTGCATCTTTGAAGGACCCACAGGATTATCTTGACCACTGCCATGAGGTATTACAGAACATGTGTATAGTTGAGACCAATGGGGTCGATTTTGCTGTGTTTCAGATGACGGATTTCACCATGAGATGGTGGAAGGATTTTGTATTGACCAGACCAGCGGGGTCGCCTACTCTTACTTGGGACCAGTTCTCTCAGATATTTCTTGAGAAGTTCCTTCCAATCACACTGAGAGAGGATTTTCGCAGGCAGTTCGAGCGTCTCCAGTAGGGCAGTATGTCCGTCACTTAGTGTGAGACCCATTTTATAGATATGGCATGTCATGCTATTCTTTTGCTTCCTATCGAGAGAGAAAGAGGGTGAGGAGGTCTACAGATGGACAAGGAGACCGGAAGGGAGATTTCCTTTCAGGCGGCTACTAATCTTGCGAGAAGGATCAAGATTGTTCTTGCACAGAGGGGGAGGTCTGGGGTCTGACAAGAGGCCTCATCATTCTGGTGGGTTTAGCGGTGCCTCGTATGGAGGAAGGGTTACTTTTGGTAGAGGCCATCCTCCTAGGCCATTTCATTCAGCACACCAGGCATCCCACGGTGCTTCAGGTAGATGTGGCCCTCATATGCCTTATTTCGACCAGTTAGCCTACAATGCACCACCAGCTCCTATTAGTGCACCTCCGCTCCAGAGTTTTCAGGGTAGTTACTCAGGTCGACAGGGTCAGGCCTGCTTGCTTAGCCAGCTAGAGGTAGGGGTCAGGCCGTCAGAGGTGGTGGTCAGGCCGTTAGAGGTGGAGGTCAGGCCGCTAGAGGTGGAGGCCAGCCAGTTAGGGGCCGTCTTAGAGATGTAGTCTAGAGTGGTGAGGCCCAGCCCCGATGCTATGCTTTTCTAGCCAGGCCCGAGGCTGAGTCATCTGACGCTGTTATCAAAGGTACTATTTCAGTTTACAGTAGAGATGTTTCAGTTCTATTTGATCCGACTTCTACTTACTCCTATGTGTCATCCTATTTTGATTCATATTTGGTTGTGCCTCGTGATTCTTTTAGTGCTCCTGTGTATGTGTCCACACATGTGGGAGATTCTATCGTTGTAGACCGCATTTATCGTTCGTGTGTGGTCATCATTGGGAATCTTGATACTAGTGTTGATCTTCTACTTCTTGATATGGTAGATTTCGATGTTATCTTGGGTATGGATTGGCTGTCACCTTATCACGCTATATTGGATTGTCACGAAAAAATAGTGACCTTAGCCTTGCCGGGGTTGCCTCAATTAGAGTGGAGAGGGACTCCTGTCCATTCTACCAGCAGGGTTATCTCTTATATGAAGGCTCGGCGTATGGTCGAGAAGGGGTGTCTAGCTTATTTGGCTTATGTCCGCGATTCTAGTATGGAGGTTCCTACCATGGATTCAGTACCAGTTTTCCATGAGTTTCCAAAGGTATTTCCTGCAGACCTGCCGGAGATGCCACCCGATAGGGATATCGACTTCTATATTGACTTGGTTCCGGGCACTCATCCCAGTTCTATTCTGCCATATCGTATGGCCCCGCAAGAGTCGAAAGAATTGAAGGAGCAGTTGCAAGATTTGCTTCATAAGGGCTTCATTAGACCTAGTGTCTCGCCCTGGGGTACGCCCGTGTTATTTGTAAAGAATAAAGATAGATCGATGAGAATGTGCATAGATTATCGGCAGTTGAACAAAGTCACCATCAAGAACAAGTATCCATTGCCGGGGATTGATGACCTATTTGATCAGCTTCAGGGTGCCAAGGTGTTTTCGAAGATTTATTTGAGGTCGGGCTACCATAAGTTGAGGATTAGGGCATCCGATGTCCCTAAGACAACTTTTCGGACTCGATACGGGCATTATAAGTTTCTAGTGATGTCCTTTGGGTTGAGAAATGTCCCAGCAGCATTTATGGATTTGATGAACCGAGTGTTCAAGCCCTACTTGGACTCCTTTGTGATTGTGTTTATTGATGATATCTTGATCTACCCCGCAGTCGAGGGGAGTACGAACAACATCTTCGAATTGTACTTCAGACTCTAAGAGACAGACAATTATATGCTAAGTTTTCAAAGTGCGAGTTTTGGTTGGATTCGGTCGCTTCTTGGGGCACATTGTATCAGTAAAGGGCATTCAGGTAGACCCTAAGAAGATTGAGGCAGTTCAGAACTGGCCTAGACCCACTTCAACCATAGAGATCCAGAGTTTCTTGGGATTGGCGGGTTATTACCGTCGGTTTGTGGAGGGGTTCTCATCTATAGCAGCCCCGTTGACCAGGTTGACCCAGAAAGGTGACCCGTTCAGATGGTCAGACGAGTGTGAGGCGAGCTTTCAGAAGCTCAAGACTGCTTTGAGTACAGCGCTGGTATTGGTATTGCCCACAGGTTTAGGATCTTATACGGCATATTGTGATGCATCCCGTGTTGGGCTCGGTGTAGTATTGATGCAGGATGGCAGGGTGATTGCATATGCATCGCGGCAGTTGAAGGTTCATGAGAAGAACTACCCTATCCATGACTTAGAGTTGGCAGCCATTGTTCATACGCTGAAGATTTGGAGGCACTATCTTTACGGCATGGTGTGTGAGGTTTTCACAGATCATCAGAACCTACAGTATTTGTTCAAGCAAAATGAGCTCAATTTGAGGCAGAGGAGGTGGTTGGAGCTATTGAAAGACTATGATATCACTATCTTGTACCATCCCGGGAAGGCCAATGTGGTGGCCGATACCTTAAGTAGAAAGTCAGTGAGTATGGGCAGCCTTGCGTACATTCCAGTCGGTGAGAGACCGCTTGCATTAGATGTTCAGGCCTTGGCCAATCAGTTCGTGAGATTGGATGTTTTTGAGCTCAGTCGTGTTCTAGCTTGTACAGTTGCTCGGTCTTTCTTGTTTGAGCGCATCAGGGAGCGGCAGTATGACAACCCTCATTTGCTTGTCCTTAAAGACACAGTGCGGCACAGTGGTGCCAAGCAGGTTACTGTTGGAGATGATGGAGTTTTGAGGATACAGGGTCGTGTTTGTGTGCCTAATGTGGATGGACTTCGTGAGTTGATCTTGAGGAGGCCCATAGTTCCCGGTATTTTATTTGTCCGGGCGCCGCCAAGATGTATCAGGACTTACGGCAGCATTATTGGTGGAGGAGGATGAAGAATGATATAGTTGCATATCTAGCTCGGTGTCTAAATTGTCAGCAGGTAAAGTGTGAGCATCAGAGAGCTGGTGGTTTGCTTCAGAAGTTAGAGATTCCTGAGTGGAAGTGGGAGCGTATCACTATGGATTTCGTTATTGGACTCCCACGGACTCAGAGGAAGTTCGATGGAGTTTGGGTCATTGTGGACAGGCTGACCAAGTCAGCGCACTTCATCCCTGTGGCAATTACCTATTCTTCAGAGTGGTTGGCAGAGATTTACATCCGCGAGATCATCCGTCTTCACGATGTGCCCATGTCTATCATTTCTGATCGAGGTACACAGTTCACCTAGCACTTTTGGAGGGAAGTACAGTGTGAGTTGGGCATGCAGGTGGAGCTGAGCACAACATTTCATCGTGATGTTACATTCATGGTCAGAGAGAGAGTGTTGCTATGTGTATCACCCATGAAGGGTGTGATGAGGTTCGAAAAGAAGGGAAAGTTGAGCCCTAGGTATATCGGGCCTTTTGAGATTCTTGAGAGAGTGGGAGAGATGGCTTACTGGCTTGCGTTGCCACCGGGTTTATCAATAGTTCATCCGGTTATCCATGTGTCCATGATCCGGAAGTATCACAGCGATCTGTCCCACGTGTTAGATTTCAGCTCTATCTAGTTGGACAAGGATTTGACTTATGAAGAGGAGTCGGTGGCTATTCTAGCCCGACAGGTCCGTTAGTTGAGATCGAAGAGTTATCCTTCAGTTCGAGTGCATTGGAGAGGTCAGCCCGTTGAGGTAGCTACCTGGGAGTCCGAGTCATATATGCGGAGTAGATATCCCCACCTTTTCACCAGTCCAGGTACTTTTCTATGTCCGTTCGAGGACGAACGGGTGTTTTAGAGGTGGAGAATGTCACCCGATAAGTCATCTCATGTTTTGAAACCTAATTCTATAAT